ATACAGGCAACTGAATCTGCATGAAGGGCACAGTATCCAAGCTAATACAGGTAGCCCATTAGCCCAGAATGTATTGTACTCATTTGGATACAAATAAGTAGATAAGACACGTCAAAATTCTTCATCCAAGAATTCTTCATCTTCTTCTGAGAAATCTTCTTCTTCGTCTGTGTGCACCTCTGTCTCAGCTTCATCCACAGACAGTGTTAATTAGACAGTGTTGCAAGATAATTTCGTATGCAGAGTGTTACTAATCGTATTAAATAATTTTTAATAGTTAGTTCGAGGAATCCCCCCACTAGGAGACCTACGATTAATTAAAAAACATGTAGCTAATGAAAAGTTAGCAAATATCGAAAAATTACGTTATGCTAAAAAGTAGTAAAAATAAAGGAAATCCGTGGCTAAGTTTTTTTTGTATTACATAAATAAAGTTGTCAAAATTTTGAAATCAATTAATTTAGCATCGGGACGCACCCGGAAGTGTAAAAAATCATTAATATTCGGTGAATCTCTCTAAAAACATCTTTGAATGGTAGAATACTTTCGGAACTGTATAACCATAAAACTAAAATAGCTATGTACGAAAAAAAAATTAAAAAACTGTAGTGCATACCTACTTCTGAATATTCCACAGTCTAAATTTAACACTTTACCGACCGGTAGCGGTTGAAGATCCCACGCACTTTCGACCACTCACTCGGCCGCAGATACATCGCTGATACCGGCTCTGCTTAGACTCTAGGCTATCGCATGGAAGTATATGCGCTTTTTCTTATACCTATAGAAATGTTTAATCAAACTTTGACCGATTAATAGGCTGTCGGTCAAAAAGCGATTAATAGGTTACCGGTCGGTAAGCGTTGGCGGCAAAAAGCCAATTATTAGGCTACCGGTCGGTAAAGTGTTAACACGAATTTATCGAACTTTTATAAAACGGCAAACAAACTTCGATGCTTCGAAGAAAATTAATTTTACACGTGGAAATTGTTCACTTTAAAGATCCTATAATATACTTCTACATAAGCGCATGTACGAAGGCAAAAATACCGATTCCTACAGGTTCTTATATAAGTGATACCTAACTCTCTCGTTGAACAGTAATTGTAAACCATTGGTAAAATTTTCAAAATCGGTTTTTGGCCAGATTTTCTACGCAAATAAAGGACCTTTCAAGAATAGAACAAATGTGTCTTACATACGTGTAATTTCTTACGAGAAAATTTCACGGATAACGTTAATCTACATAAAACATAAATACAAGCGCTAATATACGGTTTCGAATATTTCACACGAATATTTTCTTGCATTTGTAACTTTATTATTTCAGTAACTTTCTCCGAAAACAACGTTCAAGTCGTGAATGTCGTGCGATTTACAGTAGTAGCGCGGTTCAATTATTTATTCGGTCTTAAACAAAAAAGGATACCTTTTTGTACTGTGCTATTCATTAAGATAAGTATAGGAAATTAAAGTGGATTATAACGATTAGGGAATGTTTTAATCGCATTAAATTTTCTCGTTATATTATGGGTCTTTAGTTACAAGGAAACAAGAATCGTTTAGCGTATCGATGTAAATAGATTTATAAATAGAAAGATCGAGAGGAACTGAACGCTCGCTAGTTATGGCAGGTAGAGGAGAAAATACTAGTATACTGTCTATGCAAAGCATTTTAGCGCCATTCGCAATACGCTCGAGAGTGATGATTACTTCATGCCAGATTATTTAACTGTTTAACACGTGTCTACGGTTTGTTTATTTAGTAGTTTTCCTATTATGTGTGTACAGTAAGTTCTTATGTAACTATGACGATACAGAAAGCATGTTAATAAGCAACTGTTACAAAGCCAAACCGTGTAATCCAACAGAATTATCATTTGCTAAGGCACCGATAAGATATCACGTTAAATATGAATAATTTCAACAAATGAATATAGTTGATAAGCATTCAATTTCTTCGCAAAATGTGTGAAATTCGATCTTTCTGCAACATTTATCTAAATCTAGATTGCAACGTGTACTGCGTTACCTAACCATTTTACAATTCCCTTCAAATAAAATTAAACATAGACGTGAAATATCCTATATAACACCGCTTAAACTGCAAGGTAAGGGCGATTAACCAGAGGAAATCTGATCGATCAATCGCCTTTGGTTGTGCAATTATTCCTCCGTAAAGGGTTCAGCTTGACTAACCTAAGAATACTTCCTTGTAGAAGATTTCGATTACCTAATCTATTTCGATTACCCGTCCATTAAAATGATTACCCAATTTTATTGGACGATTTAATTGTATTAGGTCATCCTGAAAGTTCCGACAGTTATAAACCGTTCATTTTGAAAAAAAAATAACTCCATTGAAATTAAACATTTTCATTCAAAATAATTTCCACAATGTTCGATACACATTTTATCCAATGTATTACGCGAGCATTAATTCCGCGCGTACAAAAATTCGAATCTCTAAAAGAAAGGCGCAAACGAATCTCCCCGATCCAAATTTCGTTTACCTAACTGTTGCGAGCGTTCGACATTGTTCGGTTCTGAGCTCGCTGCGGTTCACCCTTGACTTAACGATTCTGAACCTCGTTGAGAAGGTATATATAGAGATTGTTCTGTTTTGTTGATCGTTAGTTGAATTTTGTGAGCTAGCTCTTTATACAATTTTGTGTAGTGGAAATTCACCAATCAGAGTGCCTAAATGGTGGCGACAACCCTCTTCTTGCGCCCGCAGCGCGTTTCTTCGGAGAAGGGGATGCTGCTTTAATGTTGGTGATAAGTTTACTTAAATGTTCGATGAAACAGGTTCCTCTCCTCTGTGTCGAAACGCGCTCTCCAGCCGGCCTATTCTGACGGGCGAGGGTGAGCTCGCTCTTTATACAATTTTGTGTAGTGGAAATTCACCAATCAGGGTGCTGTTGTATTCCGCGGCTCGCGATTCCTTGCGTTGGTTTATTATTTCCAATAGGTACGCGGTAGGAGAGCCTGACGGAAACTGGGGCGAAATAAGGATGCTGTTCTGCGCGTAGTACTATTCGACTTTATTCGACAGTTCGGTGACGTTCGGTGCGTGAAGACCACTAGACAGAAATCTGCTGTTTCGACGGAAAAGGTTTCTAGATATAGGTTCGGTAAGTACGAGAGAAGGGGTTGGTCACAGAGGTCAATGTAGGGAGAGGCGGTGAGGTCTAGGTTCAGCGATGAGTAAAGGATGATGTGGAGGTCTAGGTTTCGGGGTGACTAACGTTAGGATGATGCGGATTTGTTTACAGTTAAGGAAAGGAGGCAGGATGACTAAAAACTAATGAAAGATAGGAGAGAGGTATACGACAGTGCCTAAATGGTGGCGACAACCCTTTCCTTGCGCCCGCAGCGCGTTTCTTCGGAGAAGGGGATGCTGCTTTAATGTTGCTATTACTCTTTCTGTCTATTATCATATAATGCACAATCAAAAAGGACAGTACGCCATTTGGACAAATGAAAGGATACACCGAGAGAGCAATTTTATTGGCATTAGTATAGGAATAATTGGAAGGTCGAAATCGTTTAATAAAATAGGCCGGCTGGCGATAAGTTTATTTAAATGTTCGATGAAACAGGTTCCTCTCCTCTGTGTCGAAACGCGCTCTCCAGCCGGCCTATTTTATTAGACGATTTTGACCTTCCAATTCATTCCTGTAAATTGTGGGGGCTCGTCCGGGATGGAGGCTGTTAGGGCTTGCGGTTGATCTTTCGATCTTTCGATCGTTCAAGCGTTGCAGGTTTCTGCACGTGTGTGCCGACTAATGTTCTAAGGCTTCGAAGGACCAGTTTCTTGATTGAAACACTAAGTTTTCAGAAACACTAAGCGAAGTGAGAGGTGTTTCTCTTGCGAGTGGCCAAGTGTTTCTGCTGGAGTCCCTGCGGTTTCCCTCGACGAAGACTCCTATTTTCCCAAAAACACTCTGATTGGTGATTTTTCCTTTTCTAAATCACCAATCAGTTTACTCCGGTGCATCACAACCTCCCTCCATTTAGCGCGTTATCTTAGGGTGGGGTAGACAACGACCGGAGAAAGTGTTCGGTGGACAGGTGCGTAGGAATCCTGTGGAATCTCCACTTTTCTAGGCTTTGTTAAAGTCAAGTGGCCCATCGACGTTGGCAAAAGTCGTGGGCCACTTTCTATTTTCCGTTCGGAGACTCCAGGAGACTAAGTGTCGCAGGCAACGCAATAAACACTTGTGGTGTTTTGAGAAAGCGATATTTGCCTGCGACGGCGACCACTTGACTCGCTGCCATAAATCCGGCTACAGGATACGCCTTAACAGAGGCATCTGATGATGCTGATGGAGCATGTGATGAGAGGGTTTGCACGTGTCCTAAAAAGAGTTGAGAAACAGAGTTTCGGCTGAGAGTGCCACTGTGTGGGGGAGTGTACTCGAAAGTGTTGAGTTGAGTTGTGTTGCACTGAGGACATTCGACGGCGAATGTCAGTTCAGAATGGTCGAGCGTAGTATCAGGGCCTCCGTGCTCAAATAGGAAACCTCGAAGGGAGAATAGAGAGGGAGTGGTTGGCGTAGCGCGCAAAGCCTCGGCTTGCTAAGCCGAAGGTCCCGGGTTCGATTCCCGTTGGGTCCCTCAACATTTTTCCCTAGTTTTCTACATTAGTTCTTCAATCAAACATGTACTTCTAACATTGAAACAGCGTAGGTGGAAGATATAAAAGGACGAAAGTAATTTCAAAGTGGGAAGGGACTCTCAAGATGGTCTTTGACATTTGATAATTTTAACGAACGTAAAATGAACTACTCGCTTGTGTTTCAATTTCAGAGGTGGCTTATGGAGCGATTCTCGGTGTGAATTCAGTTCAGATCGAAAGAAAGATCTCTGAAGGTGTCTCTGTTTTCACGTCACGTACATCGTCATTTCTTTGTGTAAACGTGCAATAAGAAGCAGCAGATTGACGATAATAATGAAAAAGAAATGTTAATCTAGAAGGTTAGATATAATTGAAGAAGATGGCTGATAAAAAGGAGGACGAGAAGAAGGAGGAAGACCAACGACTGGAATACCTGTTCAATTATCTTACACATTCAAGGAAATTAAAAATTGACAGATGGACGAAGATGTTGTCGAATGCAGATTTTAAGGTACATACATATATGTATTTCAGTCGTGCTTGTTTAATCTTGAGGAAAAACAGATACGAACGCTTGCATAATTTCAGAAGAGTTTAATTAATCTTGCCAGCACTTTATCCTGCAGAGATGCCGGCGCATTTTCAACGTACTTTCCTGTTCATAAATATTAGGACACCCATTATGAATGTGTAGAACGTATTACGTAATTTCAATTATATTTCCTCGCCAAAGTTAGTTTCACGTATCAGTAAATATATAGAGATTCTAGACTCTAGAAAAATATAGAACGAGATTCTGGAATGAATAATTTTTTTTGGGATCTTAATAATTTTGTAACGACTTTTGTGTGTCAAATAATTTTATATTAAACTTGTAAGTAACTTGTAGTAAGTAGATTTTAGTAAAACTTAGTAGATTTCAGTAGATGTTAGTAGAAGTAAGTACAATACAATTCAGTAGACCTCTGTAAAATTCAGTAGATTTTAGTAGATTTTAATAGAACTCAGTAGATTTCAGCAGATGTTAGTAGATTTTAGTAGATTTTGCTAGAGTTTGATAGATTTCAGCAGATTTTAGTAGCTGTCTGCAGAATTCAGTAGATTGTAGTAAAATTTAGTAGACTTCAGTAGATTTCGGTAGAATTCGGTAGGCTTCAGTAGATTTCAGTATGCTTCACATGCAATAAATATCCTATTCTAATATTTACGAACATGAGTGTACAGAATCTCTTCTTTTAGTACAATTACGTATTCTTACGAATTCTATTGCCTATGAAAAAAATGTCAAGGTAAATAATTGGAAGCTAAATATTCTAAGATATACTTCCATTTTATTTCATCTTGCTGTAACCTCGCAGTTAACCTTATCGAGCACCTTACACTACAATTTCTTCCTCCACGTAGGTAAAATTAAACGATATTTTCATTTAAACATTTTATTTCAATTTACCTTTTCAACATTTTTATTCAAACGAAAGGTTATGCAATAAATGTCTCTTGTATTCTGGATAACCCCATAGAAAAATGTCAGATGGTTCAAATTAGGTGAAAGGTTTGATTTGTCATTGGAATAGCACATCACTTTTCACGATTGAATAGTTTCAAGTTTTTGATTACGTTGCAACTTGTTGCGTTATTTTTGTTGACAAACTGAAACAGTTATTCTAACGTATAAAGTGGTGAGAAATAACTTTGCCGAATTAAAAACAAAAAGAGAAATACAAATTAAACCTATAAGAATAAATAAATAAACGAAATTTGGTATGTTACGTCCTGGTAATTCGTTAGAATTAAATTCTCTTCGGAAAATAGTTTACAGTGTTTCTATTCTTATAACAAGAACCTTCTCTGAAGTAAAGCTTATGTTTCCTTTTGAAACAAAGAGAGACAGCGACATGTTTGGAAAAGAAACATTCGTAACGATATTACTTGACAAGATTCGTAGAAAGCCAATCGCTTGAATAGATTATAAAAATGGATTTTTCCTATATTTCAATAATGACTAAATTACACGACTTTCACATTCAGGAGATAATTACAAAGTTCTTTGGTACCGCGTCGGAGATGGTCCTCGTGTTGCAATTGACACCCACCGGTCTTCTGATGCCCCAACTCAGAATAACGCAATCCAAGAGAAAGCAGACATACTTCTTGAAGAAGAAACCCCAAACGGTCACCGAGCATAATTACAAGGATTTGTTGATACCCGGTGATATGGCACCGAATCCAATCGAAGAATTAGCCGTGCTCGTCGAGGACGTTAGTTCTGCGTGGTGTTTCGTTTAACCGGAAACGGTGGAATATCTCACGAGGGACCGAAGTTATGAAAAAGATGTTCTTACGAAAGTTGTTCGGCATACAGGGGGACATTAGGTGGGCTAAATAATTCTTCTGTAGGTGTAGCAATGGGGAAGATATCGAAGTGAAGTTAATTCTTTTTTAAATGGAACCTTGTGTCTTTTTATTCGTAATATGGTAGGGTCTGTTCCGATGAATTATACGATGTGCTACACGAAGTCATTTCATTTGATGAAAAATCGGGAAGTAGTGAAGAATCGGGAACACAGGTCGGCATAAGTTCACATCTCTTTGATGTCAGTCCACGATTATTTTCTAATAAATACGTGCAATGTTGTAATCTCTTTATAAATATTTTTATCTTCCTATAAAAATATACATCCTAAGGTTAGACGACTATCGGTGTACACTTCGGTGGTATTACAGCCAGCTTCCAATTTTCATTACAATTACCGTCATTGGTAGGGAAGATTATTGGATTAATGGGTTAAATAAATGGTGAATTCTCTTAAACGTATTTTATTTTCTTTGGCGTGGAAGGACGTCTTAACTAGAGCTGATACTTAAGAGATACCCGGGTTACTCGTGAAATACTCGGGTAATCAGGAAGTACCCGGGTAAATAGAAATTATCCGGGTATCTCATGAGATGAGATAGCTGAGAGTAGATATCTATTATTCCTCGACTGTTTCGGCAGAGGTTTCAAAACAATATTGTGTAGGGTACAGGGGCACTTTGGCACGTCGGCATCGTTGCATCGCTGTCGCGATCGATCCGCATTTCTTTGCCCGGGGAACCACCAGCGGTAGTGGCCACCGAGATTTCGACTGTTTTATGTATATACATATTCGAGTACTCGTGAGATACCCGGGTCTATCGTGTAAGGCGTTGTGCGACGCGCCTAGGCAACGACCGCGGGACCCAAGCCGCAGGGGGCCCTAGACAAGGAGCAGCGCAAGCTGTACCCCCACCCCACGGCTTGCAAGGCCCTAACGGCCGAAGAAGCGTATAAAAACGGGAAAAAGGGCAGCGGCCCACACATTATTGTACCCAACCATCGATCAGCGAACCTACGTCGTTTTAAAAATCAGTTATTCTAAGCCCTTGCAATTCTTTACTCTTACAATCGGGTTATTTTCATCTACCCGGGTATCTCATAGGTACTCGAATACCCGGGTGTCTCAGATACCCGGTTAAAAGTAATAGCCCTAGTCTTAACGCTTTGAAAATCGCAGTCGAAGTGAAAGTGAAAAACTCGTAAGGGCACGACAGAAATTCTGTTGTCCACTTAAGAAAAAGAGACCAGGACTGCATCAGCCTTTTACCCAGGCCCCTTAGGTATAAACAGTTACAGGGCTATGGGTCCGATGACATTATTAGATTATGGGAGTTATTGGTTGTTAAATAATTAATAATCCCTATTACAAACTATAAACTTTTATTGGACACAAGGAAGGTTCGCTTTTCTACTTGATGGTAAGAGCACTGCCTACGGACTGAGAATGTTCCTACGCAACGCCCTAATATTGCCTACGACCCCGCTTGGGACCGAAGGGCCTTTTGTCACGTATCATAAACATTTAGATCTTTACTAAACAGAGGTGGTAAGGCTAAACGGATTTCTCCGAACGTATACAAAGGTAATATATACTTCCTAGTAAGGCGTTAGATTAATTTTTGTTATATCTAACTGACTGATAAATCTAACAGACATCTGGTCTATTATATTATTTTCTGTAGCAGTGTTTCTCATACATAATACAATTCGTTTTTGCTTACCAGCTGACGCGTTGTTATTAGTAATAATCCAACAAAGATATCATGGTAATCAGGAATCTACAAGTAACAAAAATCTGTTAGATTGTACGTAAGGTTTTAAAACTTTATTTAAATACTCCGCGTACAAATATTCTGTCAACTTCCCCGATTTGCTGCGTGTTGCCACGATGTTTTTGTATGAATTCATTAATGTTTCAATTTGTTTTTGAACTCTTGGCCGAAATTTGTTACTGGCTTCTTGTAAGCATATAAAAATATGCGGTAAAATATTTCCCGAAGTATATTGCGCCGTGTATGAATGTGTTAATTTTCACTAATACCGATTTATTGAAAACTGATATTGACAACCTGTTTGATCGGTATTTATAATAAATTCTTCGGCGTGCCGATTAGATATTGCTCTTATACGTATTTTGTATCGTCTAATGTCCTCCTATATACGAAACAGTTTTTCTATGGACATTGTTTTGATAACTTCAATCCCTTATGAAATGTTCCACTGTTTCCAGTTAAACGGAACACCCTGTATACATTATTTGGCTGCATGATTGCAATATAATATACAGGGTGTCCCGTAACTCCTCGAACACCCGGAAATGGGGGGTTGCTGAGGTGACTCTGAACAACTTTTTTCTTTACCAAAATGTTGTTTGAAGCTTCATTTTTGAATTATTAACGAAAAACACTGGCTAATCAGAGTGTGCGTAGAGCCCGCGCTCAGGGGCGGAGAACAGAGGTTCATTCGCGCGCGATTGAACAAATGCGTACGCCTGACTTCACGGTTATCGGTCGCTGTCAAAAAAATTTGACTTTGCACCGCTATTTTTATAAGGCTTAGAGAAATGGTTTTTTGCCGTCATTCCGACGTTTGTATAAATTTTTGAAAAAACTACAATTAGTCGGAATCGCAAAGAAAATAGCGAAGGTCGTTTTTACAACTTTTTTATCTGAGCTCATAATGAAAATGTAAAAAATACGTTTTGTAGATCTATGTCAATTGTACACACGCTGAAAATTTCATCGAAATCGGTTAATGTTGCTATGAGCTACAAACGGTTAAAGATTGTGAAAATCGCACTATTTCACGACTTTCGGTCTAGAACTGTAATAAATCTGCAGATTCTTACATCTTTCGATGCCTGTTGCTTGTTTCTTCATCCACAGCGGTCTGATGGGGCTGCCCCATTGGGGCCTAACAGGCAAATTAGGCTAGCCTAATGCGGACCTAATGTCTGCCTAACTGAAATTTCTAGTCGGGTATATACTGAAAATTTACAAGATTTATTAACACAGCAAGTACTCCGTGCGTGTAAAAAAAATGTATTACACATTATTTAAAAAATTTATGTGTTCGCATAAAAATTTGTTTAATCTGATCAGTATTACATATTAGTCCTTACACAATTTTTATAACGTTTTCAGGCATACGTACCTATTTTATCTAACCCAAAAAATCACGTCGGTTGGCCGGAAGTAGTTTGTAAAGATGTTAAAAAGCAAGTGTATGATCTTCGAAGTTTAATATGGCAGGTAAAAGAATTTCTATTGAAATTAATCGAACAAGGGTTTCTATATTATTGGAACAACGTTCAAGGCAATTACTTCTACTACCGATTAACATTTTTCCCAATTTCACAGGTTGTATTTTTACATCAACACATTGAACTTCACGTCTTAAAATCCTATCGTTATTAATTGATCCAGTACAATATTAATTATCACGTTGGTGCATATGAAATATTCTTTTAAAAATTCTTTTGAAAATAATGTATTTAATTGAAATAATTTCCACACGATTTTATACACTTATTCCAAATATATAAAAATCATTAGTCCTTGAATTGAAAAATTCTTCGAACGTTGCTCTTACAGTGTCTTCTTTTGGGAATTTATTTGTTAAAAGAATTGTTCAGGTTTTTTGAAAAAATGGTAGTCTGTTGGGGAAAGATTTAGCGAATAGGGGAGAATACGGGAAAATTTTACATTCTTTACCGTGGATTGTTTTAAACAATTTCTCTTCGTTATCAGCCCAGGCCAGTGACGGCGAACCTTTTGAGCTCGGTGTGTCAAAATTCGGAAAAAACCTAGCTTAACTCGGGTGCCGTGTCACATCTAGAAATATCAGCGCGCGTTGACTGTTCTTGAGCGAAGACCGTCCGTAAACGATGCGTGTCACAGGTTCGCCATCGCTGGCCTAGGCCCTATTTGATCTACCTCTTGGCTCATTTCCAATGAAAAGTCTACCAATCTTGAATATTGCACACCAACGTTGAAGTGACCTAACATTTACATAACTTTCTTCAAATACTAAATTTATACTTTCAGCAAAGTTTTTTCAAGTTAAAACTTATGTAAAAAAATTACGCGCATATCCTGATTATTCCTCACGTCAGATAATAATATCCAAACTACAGCGAATTCTATCTTCTTCACTGTTGAGTACAAAAATTTACGATCGGTCGAAATTTAATATATGTTATCAACTTTCCAATTGCTATTAAAAAAACGACATTTCATTTACACCAATTTAAAATACATACAGGGTGTCCCGTAAAGAGTGTAACACCATTATTCCTCACGTCAGATAATAATATCCAAACCATTGCATTATACATTTTTTTACTACTAAATGCACATGTACTACAGCGAATTCTATCTTCTTCACTGTTGAGTACAAAAATTTACGATCGGTCGAAATTTAATATATGTTATCAACTCTCCAATTGCTATTAAAAAAACGACATTTCATTTACACCAATTTAAAATACATACAGGGTGTCCCTCTTCCCACGATACCCACGCTGTGCCAATGCGTTTGTTCACGATCGCGCGCGGATGAGTCCCTGCGCTCCCGTGCTTGGGGGCGGGCTCTACGCGCGCTCTGATTGGCCAGTGTTTTTCGTTAATAATTCAAAAACGAAGCTTCAACCAACATTTTGGTAAAGGATTGGTAAAGGAAAAAGTTGTTCAGAGTCACCCCAGCAACACCCGTTTCCGGGTGTTACGCTCTTTACGGGACACCCTGTATAATAACGCACGCACGGCAGATGTCGGGTCAAATATGACCCAATACTAAAATCTTTTTTGCATGCAAACGGAACCATACCTTTTCATTTTATTGGGAATTATATTATTTAAAACTATAGAAATGTATTACGATTAAAATAAGAAAAAACATTTATAATATAAGGAGAGAAGAGTCGTGACTCTGTTTCGAATGCTGGTTGAAATAAGAGACATCTAAAAAGCTGGGTCAACGGTGACCCGGCGTCCGCCGTCCGAATTGTAGGTTATGTCGGTTTCGAAAAAGTACTAATACACTGTTACACAAACCTCAGGTAAAAGGAAAAATAACGGGACAAACGTTGCTACCAATGCCGATGGGCATCGAAGAAATACTCAATCAACAATTTAATTCAAAAATAGACTCTTCTAAGCAATTACAACTGAAAAATAATATAGAGGAAATTGTAATAAAATGGGCAACTCAGATCAATGAGATTCTCAATGAAGAATTCTCTAAGTCTTCGAAGAGTGACAAGGAAATACCTGTTACTGGTAATTTCATTGTTTTAAGAATGGTGTCCGTTTTTAGTTTATTTTGTTTTTATTCTTTCAAGTAAATGTTGCATGCATCATCTTGTACACTCTAGTTCATAAGGATTAGGAAACTTATTGAATGTAGTGAAGTATACAGTCATTACGACAGTCGTTATCATATTATGTCACTAGTTTTTCTCTTTGTTTACATGATATTGAGTTACGTTATTTTTGATAATGAGTATTTTTATTGATATACGATACTAACTTTTAAATTATATAACACGAACATAATCGATATCCCAATAATTATGAACAGCAGTGTACATAATAAAATTATATTTTAAGTATAATATAATTCTCTTTTTCTTCGTTTCTCTTTACACGATCATTTTTTCCCCATTTATCTCTTTAGTTGTTATTAAGATATCTTTTGCTCATTTTATAAGAAAGCTGTGATTATTATTGATATAATTGGGATGATTTTACTTCATTAGAGATAGAATACTGGAACATGAGACTAAAGAATATGGAATCGCTTTACCGACAATTGAAAGATCCGAAAGTAATGCAAATAGAAGTATTTTTAGAAAAAGTAGAAAGTCCTTATTCGGCGTACTTCAAAAATTTAGTGAAAAACGTGGTTGGAAGTAAGTAATAATTATGAAAAAAGAAGCTGGACGAATAAACAAACGAATTTAGTTCAATCATAGAAATTTTCAAATTTTCTCTACTCTAACATTTTATTAATGTTTAATTTAAAAAAGCGATAACGAACATTCAGTTTCTTTCTAATTCCATTATGTTAAATTGTAATTACATTATCCTTTACTGAAAAAAATTCTAGCGAAATCTGTAACATGTGTGCAATGTCTTTTAATTTTTCTGAAGTAACGAAAATAAATGATAAAAACATTTCCCTTTTCTGAAGTAATCTTCGTCCGAATTTTTCAGCTTTATTGCAGACTAGGGATATTTATCTCTATTTGAAGCCTCTGGAATCCTATTTTCAGGATGTCGAAAGTACTGAATTTAAAGACATAATGTCGAAGTTAAAGACATTGATCCATTGCGTTTGTTTAATGTGGTCAAATTCGAAATATTATTCTATGGAAAGAATTATTGCTCTGTTACGAGAAATTTCAAATTTGTTAATTTCTCAGGTATTCTAATTTCTATCATATCAACGAACTAATATTTTCATAAACAGCTTAGCTTAAATAATAAAGTAACAAACGAAGTCAATGTTAGTTGCTCAAACTTAAATAATTACCGGTGATATTTAACCTTTTATTGTATTAATTATAATTTCAATTTGTTTAAAGCTACAGTGTTTCTACTGTATTAGTTGCAAATTGTAATACAAAAATCAATCATATCAAAAGTAACAAAAAAAAATAGTAGCTTATTCTGTGAAATATTCTAAAATAAAATCAAATACTTTAATTTACAATCCTGCTATATTTCTTCCACCGACTATACTAAAGTTTACCCGAGGTCCTTCGACCGCTCGCGAGTTAGGTGCGACAAAACTTAGTTTTCAGATTTCCTCCCATTTCGTATACATTTGTTGTTATTGTATATTGAAATTAACATGATCAAAGAAAGTACTTGATTTCTTTTATTAAAATTATTATTTTACAATTAATGTAGTATCGGGGCCTCCATACGCAAATAGGAAACCGACAAAGGACAATATAGAGGGAGTGGTTGGCGTAGCGCGCAAAGCGTCGGCTTGCTAAGCCGAAGGTCCCGGGTTCGATTCCCGGCTTTTGTGTCTCAATATTTTTCCGTTGGTTCCTACATATGGGGGCTCGTCCGGGATGGAGGCATCTACGGCTACACGAAGCCAGGAGGTGTGAGACGAAAACATATCAAGGGTTGCACGTCTCCCAAAAATGCGTTGTTTCGGCTGTGTGCCACTGTGTGGGGGAGTGTGCCCGAAAGTGTTGAGTTGTGTCGCACTGAGGACATTCGAGGGCGAATGTCAGTTCAGGATGGCCGAGTGTAGTATCGGGGCCTCCATACCCAAATAGGAAACCGACAAAGGACAATATAGAGGGAGTGGTTGGCGAAGCGCGCAAAGCCTCGGCTTGGTAAGCCGAAGATCATCCCGAGTTCGATTCCCGTTGGGTCCCTCAATATTTTTCCGTCGTCGGTTCCTACATTAACATAAAAAATTATAGCCGCTTGAGATATGTTTAATATCTTTTTGTGTAGGCAGTGAAGCATATAAATCCGTCAACTTTATTTGAAGGAGACATCGAGGAAAATAAAGCAAAAATAGCAGAGGTCTTACCGTATCTCAATAGCTATCAAGAAATGTTTCGAACATTTAAAGAGAAAATAGAGTCTTATTTTAAATTACAAGAACCCGTACCTTGGACATTTCACGAGAAGTTAGTTTTTGCCAGAATTCAAATGTTTGAGCAGAGACTTAAAGAAATTGAGGTTTGTTGAAAAATTATAAATGATGTATTCGAATATCGTTATTTTTTCTTTTAATTTCATTTCGTTGTAATTTTTGTTTACTTTAAGCGAAAGATAATTTGTCAAATATGAAACAATAATACATATAGGGAATATGCACTGTTTATTTTACTTTCTCAATGATATTGTAAATATGTGTATGTGTGGGCGTGTGTATTGCTGTAACATTAAGTTGCTTGTAAAAAATAGAATAATTTGGATCTCTTAAATTAGAATATTATTTTAATACTGATATAATTATAAGTATTATATTTTTCAAATTTAAATTTCTTTATTTCTGAAATCGCCAAATGTTGCATTCCTCAGTTTTCACTTTAGGAGATTTGAAAAAGAAGTGAAACCAATCTTTTCTAATACAAACAAAAAATTGTGCAGAAATTTAAAAAATAAAAAAGTGCTCTTTTAAAAAATAATATTGCACACTTTTCCCTTATTTTCGCCAAGAAACATTCCTTTCTTTGTTGTACGATGAACTTCTTTCTCGCTTTTTATACAGGACGAGTCATTTAACAGTGCCACCTTTTACTCGCAAACTATTTGTCGTATCAAAAAAATTTTCCAACGAAAGTTGTTTGGTATCAAGCGGGGCATACAATGCAACAATTGGTTTTTCGATAGTCCGCTTTTTTATCGAGATGTGAAGGTCACCTTGAAGTTTTCGTGATACGACAAATAGTTTACGAGTAAATTTAGGTGGCACTGTTAAACGACTCACCCTGTACATGATTTTCGTGCTAATTTTTCAGACATTCCAACTTTGCAGTTAATATTTTTCTCTTTCAGTCGTTGTTCAATATAGTACAGGATTATTTAAAACTGGAAAGAATAGAAATGTCCGGTTTAAAAGCAAAATCGTTGCTTTCCATGACTACTGACATTTACGAAGAGTTTCTTAAATTGTACCAACAATTTGCGGAAGTACCTTACGAAGTTTTAATGCCAGAGGAAACACAGTTTACCGAAGATTTGAATGCGTTTTCTGCCATGGTAAGTAATTTCTATCGATTTACTGTTTTTTATGTCTCAATTAGGGGAGACTGGGGCGAAAAGTTACAATTTTGACAGAACATAAAAAATGACCGAGAAATAATGTAGTTATTCTCTTCACTGTTAACTAATTTATCGTTAAATTTATCGTACTTTAAGATCTCGAGCTTACATTTAACATATTGCAATTAGTTTTTCGCGGGGAGTCATTTATTTGCAACTTGGCGAAGCGTAACTTCTAACCCCGTCGTGGGGTAAGTTGTTCCTAAGAAAAAAGAGTAGCCTTTCAGCGAGATATTTCAATTTCTGATGAAATAAAATACAATCTTATGAATAATGTTTATTTATTGACGTTCAGATCAACAAAAATGTAAGTATTATCATTAAAAGAAAACTAAAACAGTACAGGCTGATTCACCTAACTTGACGACCTGATTGCTCGTAAACTATTCGCTGTACGAAATAGTGTTTGAAGCAAAAGTTGCACGATTTCAAGGTGGGCACATGTTACAAGAATTGTTTTTTTCTACAATGTTTTTATACGTAAAGTTTTGAAGTTTACCATGATTTTTTTAAATAGAACACCCTGTATTTCTTTCCGGAAATTAAGAGAGCATTGAAAGTGTAATATGTCTAAAATTTGTATTTATTGAGATATTCACCTGTCCGGCAAAATACTCAGGTATAACACCTGCCCCAAGTCGGAGGAACTAGTCCCCATCGACACACGTGGCAATTTATATTGTCGTCGAGGTAACTCCGGAGATTGTTTAAAGTGCTTTATTTATAACAATCTTGGTACATAGTGACGTTGTAGTTCCTTAGATTTTAAACGTAAGACTAAACTTCCTTTGTTTGGGCCCAGTATTTATATTGGGCCCTACTGGAGGGGATGGACGCTGTGGAATACGTGTGGGGTAGGGAAATTTCGGAAAATCGCGGTATCGGGAAAAGCCATCTTGGCGTCGGTCTGGAATGCAGAGAAGGTGTCCTAATGGATCGGGCGAATTTTTAACCCTAAAGCGGTCCTCGGGTCTTTTTTGACCCACCGCCTTTTTATATTTTTAGTAATTTTTGCTGTTATCAAGTTTACGTTCCTTAACATTATTTTAAACGTTTATTGTCTAGGTTCATATGTCCCTTAGGTCCTTTTTGACCCAAAAGTCTTAAGTGTACAGTCAAAATGAAGAACGCAATAGGGTTAAGGAGATGTGTATCATAGGACAAGGGAAACCCATTCGCATACGAAATGTCGGGTGGCGTCTACTGCGACAATATGAATACTCGGCTTTTATATTGAAATAGTCTAATAAAAACTATCGCAACGTGTTTTTAAATGTCATTTGATCCATAAGGACGAAACAATTAATAATTTCCGAAATAGACCAAAAAGTAACGAACGACAAATATTTACTTTTCCGATACGAGACTATTTAGGTGGTTGCTTATGACCACAAGAGTCGCTGTCACAGACGCTATTAAAACGGATGACAGAGTGGCGTGATCGACTTACATGGCGAAGACAATTGAAAGCACAATCCTATCTCTTTTCGTTTTAAAGTTACAACCAATCGTAACAACTTATCTCGGTAACTTTTAGCCCCGGTCTCCCCTACTTTTAAACTGCTTTTGTAAGATGTCGTTTTAAATGTTTCCACGATGTTTATTTGCTTATAATACTACATGTTACTCTTTAACTAAGCGAGATATTTCTCAAATGCAAGGTGGAGCAATTTGATCGACGATTGGCAAGCATTTTTGTTCAAGTATTTGCAGAATGTCATAACTTAGAATCGCATTTTAAGTTTATTTGGATGATGGGTGTAATTGCCAATCGACCCATAATCATGGCTCAGTTGTGGTTTAAATACGAAAACGTGATTCAAAGAGCAGATCGACACTTCAGCAATATAAAGGTAAAATGAAAGCATATAGGAACAAGTTTAAGCTAATATTCTATGGACTTTATAGTATAAAGTGTAGATTATGAATGTTTGAAAATATAGTAATCATTTAATCCTTTCAAATTTGTAATTTATTTAAAAGGACATATCTGGATTTATTTCAACAAATTTCGAGTGTTTTATTGTACTTTTAAGTAACAGCATATTCTGTACTGTAATATTGTTATTTGTGTTATTTTGTATTAAAAAAGGAATGTTGAATGTTCAATTATTACATAACATTTTATATAATTATTATACAATATCCAAGAAAATAAATGTAATTTCTAATTAATTAAACTTTTATTTCTCTGAAACATTGAAATGAAAAATCTGGTTGTCCATATTATTCATAATAAATATCATAATTTGTGACTGTTGTCATTATAAAATTGTGCATATCTATTTTTGGTAAAATAATTCTAGAAGCTCTTTACATCTTAGGGCATATTTGACGAGAATTTTACGTTGGATACAGAGAGGTTGCACATATCAATAAATGCCTATTTACCTCCAGTCGCTTCGTCATTGTGCTTGTTAATGAAACTACGTGAGAGAACTCGTTTTCCAATTCACTGCATGAGATTAATCGATCATCCTTTAATTGCTGCTAAAATGACAAGCGAACTCAAAGAGAAATACGAAGAGCTAGAGGTAACATGTAACAAATAAACTGATATAGTATATAATAAATAGATTGTTCCTTTAACGTTTATAAATATTTCTTTTTAACATTAATTTCAATAAATTGCCTTTTTTCAAACATTTGGATCGAACATTTATGACACTTTTATTGAATTTTAGCAATTTATAATTTCTCAAGTAAGTTGTAAAATGTAAAGAACAATTAATGTACTAAGAAAGTAACATATAATGTATAACATTAAAAAATTAGATACAGATAAAAATATATTTCAAATATATTTGTTTCTTCAAGATGATTATTGAAGAAAAGGAAGAGGAAATATTCTCCGCTTGGGAAGAGAAATTGCCAGAAATTTGGGAAACACACTTAACGAAAACTCTTTTAACAGTTAGAGATGACAAGCTGTTAGAATTGAATTTTCATATACAACTGAGGAATACTTTAAGAGAGATTCGTTATATGATAATCATAAAGAAGCCCAATCTTCCTCCTGAAGCAATAGAATTTTATAACAGAACACAATTCTTTTTTAACAACACCTACAATCTTAATTTGATAGTAAATTGGTAAGTGATACTTTCATTTTCCTTCTGGTAAAACCTTTTAACGTATAATTTACAGATATCGTGATAGGTACGTAAATTCATAAATATATTTCTTTCTTAATAAATAGTCTGATAAATTCCTCTTCTTGCGATGCAACAAAATTATACGGGGTGTTCGATAACTGTTGATAGAAAATTTGAGAGGTGATTCTGCAAGCCAGAATAAGACGAAAATCAAGAATAAAAAAATTGTGTTTAAGGCCTTGTTTTTCAGTTATTAACAGTTAAACGTATCCCTGTGGTCGAGCAAAACTCCTAACACCAGCCTACGGAGAACGCAGTGATTCTCAAAACAAACGATACATGGCCGTTAGTTTACTTCGTACAAGTTGTAGAGAAAGGAACTGTGATATTCGGAAACGTAAACTATCCTGCGACACTTTATAAAAAAAGATCGTAGATTAAACACTAAATCTATCTACTCGCAGACATTAAACCTCTCCACACGGAAATCCCATAGGACGGGCTTTGATACGCTCTTTTGCATTTCTGCGAGTAGGTAGGTTTAATGTTTAATTTATGATACTTTTTATAAAGTGTCGCAGGATCGTTTATGGCACCGAATGTCACAGTTTCTTTCTCCACGACTTGCACGAGGTAAACTGACGACCATATGTCGCTTGTTTTGAGAATCACTGCGTTCCCCGTAGGCTGGTGTCAGGAGTTTTGCTCGACCACAGGGATACCTTTAACTGTTAATAACTAAAAAACAATGCCTTAAACACAATTTCTTTATTCTTGATTTTCGTCTTATTCTGGCTTGCAGAATCACCCCTCAAATTTTCTATCAACAGTTGCAGAACACCCTGTATAAGGGATAGAATTACTGGCACACTTTGAACCGGGTAAAAATGTCCGAGAACTACGTGCCTCAGAATACACCCTGTATCCTGACACGACTTCATACGGACAGAATACCATTTAACAATAAAGAAGTTATTTGAGTACTCTTATCGTGGATTATCGATTAAAGTACAGGTTTCTCTAACAAGAATATAAGGCTGCCATATTTTTTAATTTTAATGATTTACATTTAATTATTGTTTTTATAGCAGGGTATCTAATCCTAGTTTTTAGTAAAATTTTTAAATATAGTATAAAAATAATATTTGTATTTCACCTAAATTTTATAAACACACGGAAAACAACGAATAAGAAAAAAACAAGGACCTTTACAAGGCACGCTGCGCTGATAATGCTGTCGGAAGTAGTTCTTGTAAGACTCTCTAGAGAGTCAGTTTACATAAGACTTACAAACAGTTCGCGCAAGACCCCATAAAAGGGGACACATTATGAACTGTAGAACGTCTTTATCAAGGTTATTTTTTTATATTTTGCGGTCGTAGCAGTTTTTCTACAAAATATCCCTTTTAGCCTAACACCATAGACAATGTCGTATCGAATTCGGTAACTTATTGCTGTCGAGGTTTCCGGATGTTAGTCGTGTCTTTATGGAGGAAATATTCTCACGTTTCGTAAGCACTGCAGCTCAGTACATCATGGTGTAAGCAGTATCAGTGTGTTATTTAAACCCTGATAAAATGAGCTGCAGTGCTTACGAAACGTTGGAATGTTTCTTCCATAAGGACACGGCTTACACCCGGAAGCCTCAACAGCAATAATTGTGCGATACGGGGCCTTGCGAAAGACCTGATCTTTGATTCAGTAACGTATACTTTTATTTTATTCCTTCAAATGATCTTGAGCACGAAAAATTATATTTTCATCGTCAAAAATTGATAAAAAACTATATTTAAATGTAATATAAAGCCTTTTAATAATGATTAATTATACAATTTTTGCACATTTTCTGTAAGTAAAGAAATTTAAAAAAGTACTTTTAATAAAAGAATAGCTTTCCCACTTAAAATGTAATAGGTAAGTGCAATAAGGGAGCAAACCATGATTTTTTGTATTCATTTCTTTTCTCAGTTTAATTTCCAACACGATTGATTTTGTTCAATGTATGTAATGCAATATCTATTTTAAATCCTTAGTGCACGTCCTTCTTGATATCATACGATTTTTGTTTGAAACATTTTCCGATGTAAGAAATAGTTTACGAGTAATTGAAGGTGGTCGAGTTGGGTGTCTCACCCTGTATAAACTGGTTAATACAAAAAAACTAACGACTTTTCAACACTTAACTAATCACTTGAGTGATTAATCCGCAAATAATTAGAAATTCACACATTTCACGTTACACGACTTAATGGTATCTGGCCTAATCTAGACAAAGCATCCATCAAATTAGTATACTTTCAAATTAAAAATATAGGAGTTCGCATGATTGGTGAAAATATGCTTTCACTTAAATTACAAATCTGTAGATGCGATATGATAAGCGTACAATTCTTGTTAGATAGGTAATTGAAGATGACATTACATAATTGTAGAAAGTACGTGTTTACTGTTACTGCAGTATTACGTCTATCTTCTTCATTCCTCGATTATTCACTTACAGTGGATGTGATTTATAATTGGATTGCGTAACATTTTCACACCTTTATTCTTCTAATGTTCGATTCCCTCCTAAATTGAAAATGATATCCGGAATTTTATTTGGTAATATAAAAACGTATCCACTTTTTAAAGGAAATAGGCGTACAGTAAAGATATTTTTATTGCATTACACCAATAATACGTACTATATAGCTATCCTTTTATTTCACAATTTTTTCAAAAAAGTAATAAGTGCAGGGTGCTCCGCTAGCCTCTTTAAGGAAAGTGATTTCGGAGGTGAACTGAAAAAGAAAATTTTATAAATATCTTGTTAAAAGTGCGTATTTCATGAAATAAATAGTATCAAAGATTGAAACTCTACTAACGGTGCAAAGATATGGTAAATCAAAATGTTCATAGTCTTCTTATTTACAAAGTTTAACGTGTCACAAGAGTTGAAGTATGCGATGCATTACATTAATGTCTTTATTTTTGCTATACATCTTCAATATGTGTGTATACGACGCAATGCATCTGTATAATAATTATAGAGATCTGTTGCTCCACAACTTTAAAGTTTCTCTGATTTGGTGTTACACACTAATGAATGTTGTTACTCATACTTTTAACAAAGTTTGTAAATTTACCTAAGTCGTCGAACGTGACTGAATTTCTAAACAACCTGAATTAGAAAATATTTAAAATTGTTGCATAGGGGTAAACTTCTGAACTCGATGGGAAAGTACTACACATATCTACATATAGGGTGTCCCAGTTTGTTTCGATCAAACTTTGCCAGTATGTTCTATGGATATAAGTAAGAAAGAAATGTTATATAAACATAGGTCGTTTGAAGCTTCGTTAAAAATTTATAACAGTAATATTGCGAATGTGAGGTTATGTTAGAAAATAGGGATAAATCCGTGATATGTACATCTACTCTGTTTATGCGAGTTGTGTTTACTATTTGAGGTCGTTAACTGTGATGCATGTCAACTTCTGGCAGTGTCATTCTTGTCTTGCATCATAGTAACCGCAAGTTCGTTACCATTCCCTTTGTATTTCGTATTTTTGTTATACCTTTTTAATACAGCTTCAAACGACCTATGTTCGTATAACATTGTTTTCTTATTTGGATCCATAGAAGATACCGACAAAATTTTATCGAAAAAAAAACTAGGACACCCGTTATATACTTTACACGACGATTATTCTTTGTTAACCATTCAACGCTCGTGCTCGTGTTGAGGCCTAATCATCCAATAAGTGCAATTTTATTTAACGATTTTCTTTCATTTTTTATATTGCGTTATCCTTTTTATTATAGCAAAACACGCGAGTTACAGCGTTATAAATAATAGGAAACTTATTTCAATACATACACCTAGGAAATAATGTAAAACCAAAATAAAATTGATCAAGTTGAAAAAAATGTGAACGTTTAGAGGTTAAGTAGGTAAAATATATAAGAAAGATGTCGAAATGAATTTTTTATGTTTCTCGTCTCGTGGCTCGGCTTGATCTGACTTATTGCTTAAAAGTTTGTACCCTGAAGATTTACAGAATGTTTTCATTGGTTGTTTTGAAATGCACGGTGTCCTAAGGAGTGATGCACGGAGAAAGTCGGAGGACTATTGGTTTTCCCAGGTTCAGAAGTGAAAAATTCTGTTACTTGCGGCTGCTCGACACTTCGTGTTATAAAACACGTTTATCGCTCGAGTGTTTTGACTTTCTGATCTCTATGGCGGTCTACGTGTGACAAATGATCCTATGTCATAAACGTTAGGCGCTCTCTCCAATGTATAATGTCACAGCACATGCAGTCAAGTTTCGAGCACGTCTGTATAACCTCTTCCGCATTCTTGCATGTCTCTCACACGTTCTCATCGTCGTATCTTCCCAACTTTGTTATTTTTTCTGTCTACAATTTTCCATCACCTTATGCAAGGAATATACGCCGAGCTTCTAGTTTACAACTCTATTTTATTTGGTACATGTGTGGATTCGCAGATCTTTATTGACAGTTTTCTTGAACCTCGCTTCGTGTCTGCTCTTTCGCACGTTCGGACAACGAGTAAGTGTCCCTCGGTAGTTTTCGGAGTTTCTACGAACGTTCCCGAATAACCCGGCTCTGGCTATTGTTACAGGGCCGTGTCATAAAGGTGCCCGCGGGGCCCGAACTCGGTTCTGTCCCTCGATCTTTTATATTTTATCCTTGTCTTACGCTTATTAAAATACTTTTCAAATCAACCTACGACTGATTTTCACATTTTTTCCCTTTTTCAAAGTCACAACTTTCGTACATCAGAAATGCTCACACGTTATACCGTAAAAATTGCAAGCACCTAGCAACAGTCCTTTATACTTAGGTCACGAATTTGTCAATCGACCCTCGTATTTTCCTTATGAAACTTGTTCGAAATGTCAACCATGTGCATCGATACAATGTTGTAATCTGTGAAATGATGAATCCCTTACATGTCTTGTTATCTCAAGGTCTATTGCAGCAGGGTTTCGCCCTATTCCTAAGATATTCGGCTTCGTCCATTGGATTACTTTCATCGGGAAATATGTTCTTTTTGTGAAAAATATCGTGTACCGTAAGATACTTCCATAATGTGATGCAACGGATTACTGCAGTGTGTGCTGGAGCAGACTCCAAGCGATAAGACATGTAAGAGATTCAGTGGTTCACGTGTTACAGTATTCTATCGATGCACATGATTAACACTTGGAACATGCTTCATAATGAAAGTAATAAGATGGACAAAGTCGAATATGTCAGGAACGGTATGTGTTAGAATAAAGTGTACCTCAGTACTGAAAATTCGCTAATTTATCTAATTTAACTACAAAGATTGGACATTCCATTAAAAAAAAAAAAAAAAAAATTGACGTACAATCTCTTTTACACCTTACGTAAGTAATATTTTCGCTCATTACTTGAAGTAATGAAGATATTTAAGGTGATCAAAATTGGCGAGACACCTGGTATATTCAGAACGCGGAAATGAGTTAAGAAATGCGTATACCCGTTTACGGTAGAAGTTGTTTTTGAAAATTGTGCAACATCAAAAAAGACTTCTATACCTTTACCTTTTTTTTTATAGCTTATTATACTTTTTATACATTGCCACCCAATTTATGCATAATTGAATACTCGAAAGTTGAAGATTATAAAATAGCATGTTGATGAGCCAAAAAGAATGATCAATGTTTGGAATTTGTGAATTCAATCATATTTTTAATATAATTTCTTTCCTAGGTAAATATGTTTGTATTTTAGGTATAACAGAATACGAAGTGAGAGCTTACCAGTAGAATTTAAATTAGTGGAAGAAGAAGTTGAAGATATTGACAATTTAATTAATTATGGTCAAGAAAATTATAATTGGAATTCCGAAGGTAACGCATTATTCATTTTTAACAATTAATTGTGTAAGTTGCTCGAAGAATAGGAAAAAATGCAAGGCATTGAAGAATACTACGAATTAAAGAATTATACATGTATTTTTAAGGGAAAGGCAAATGTTATGGGAGGTAATAGTATCGGTATTTCTAAAAACAAAAACTTATATAGGGTGTTTTAAAGGGTTATTCTATAAGTCAAAAATGAGACGAAAATTAAGAATAACAAAATTGCATTTGAGATTTCGTTTTTTGTTTATAAGCATTTCAAAAAATTGGCCAAAACATCCAGGAGTCCTGGCAACCGTTCACACACCGGTTAGTGCAGGGCAGGTCAAAAGACCAGAGTATCGTCACCGTCAAAAGCAACGACTAAGCAAATCTGAAGGTTCAGGGACTTTCTTCCATTAGTGTCAGAAATTTTTTAGGCTTTATAAGCTATTTTTTCAGAAATATTAAAAAAATGTTTACTTTTCACTTTTCTAATTCTTAAAAAAGTATTAATACACTTCCTGAAGTTTCCTTTGCAATAACAGTTTACTGTATTTGAATCTTTCGGAAATTAACGTTCTAGATGCTATTAAATGTTTATATTATGCGCTGACTCAGACAGGAAGACAAGGAGAACAGATAATCTTTTCACTTTCCTATTCCTTATCGGTTGAAAACCGCTTAAACTATCTACACCAAAACTTTCCCTCTATTAGGGCCGTAGAGTAGCGATGATGGTGCGCGCGTCTGTTTTCCGCTCATTTGTCCATGCAGTCGCGTTAGAACCTTCAGGTTTGCTTGGTTGACGGTGATACGAAGATTCACAATCATATTATACAGCATTCATAACAGTATCATTCGTGTATATAATCCTTATATCTGTCTTCACTCATCTCCAGCCCTGCCTATGCTTCTTTATTCAATTTTTTCTCCAAATCTATCAAACACGTACTTTGATCGTCAACAGGTTCAACGAGCACCCTACTTTACACTTTCCTCCGTCTAAATATTTTTACTTTTCTGATTATTCCTACTTATATTACACTTACAAGGAAACATCCCGAAGTAATAATCACCGATTTTGATGAAGTTTTGGTATGCGATAGATCTCAAAAAATATTCGACGCGTATCTTTTTTATCAGCAATCGTCCACACCGAAGGGGTGAAAATCGCTCTCAAAGTCGAGGGTAGAAAACATATTTAGTCCAATATCTCGAAAACTATTGAAGATAGAGAGGTGATGTAAATTGACGAAATTTGTATTTCTGAACGACGAATGAGGCTGCTTAAATAGATTTGAAAAACGTCCATTTGTTTAATTAATATACTAAAAATTATAACTCTTTTTGTTCATTTTTCTTGTTGCCGTGCAAGAGTATAGTCGACCTAACAAACATTTCTCGTCTTATTATTATCGGTATTCGTTCTTTACGTATTGTATATTTCTTCTTTATAATGATACTAAAAATCATTATAAAAATCTACTAAAAATCTAAATCACATACAATTCAAGTATAAGGTATAGTCGGTGGAACAAATGTAGTGGAGGCACAGCTTGATGTAGTGGTAGCTAGGTTGCCTGTACTTACATATACGGCATTCTGTTTTAGGGTCATCTCCATGCACTATCAGACAAATTAAAAATGTCAATTAGTTTTTTTAATATTTGAAGTTTCTTTCTGTGCTTGGCGTATCGGAAACCTATATACACTACCGGCCGAAAGTTTGGAATCACCTGCCAATTTATATTAATATTCAATCTGCCACTAATTCTTTATTGATTTGAAATTGATGTTGTGGAGATCAATAGCACTTTATCTCATTTCGATTGATTTGAATAATAAAAAATTCGTCGGAAAATTATTATAAATGCTAACATTTTTGGGGAATTTTTGTGCAACTTGCAGTGCACAGTGATTCCAAACATTTGGCCGGTAGTGTATGTATATGATCAACGCAAATCAATTAACTATTGGAATTTTAAAAACGTGACATTGATAAAAATCGAAGCAGAATGCAGGTGAAAACGAAACCCATTATAAGAATTTGAAGGACCATAGAGCCTGTGCGGGTGTAACGAATGCATAATGTGGCCCTGTCTAAGGGTTTAAGTTATTAACTTCTTATATTTCCGTTAATTCTTTTGACAGAAGACGTGAAACTGTTTACTTTGACTCTTGGCCGATTTTACGTGCACCTTATATTTGTTTCACCAACCTTACCTAAACCGAGAAACATAATAAATGTGCATGTCAATTTTGAAGTTTTCCTTTGTAATATTTTATAGAGATCCCCGAATACATAAATAATCTGCTAGAAATTACTTGGAAATTACACGTCAGAGTTTTTCGAGCACAGAATAACTTGAAAAATATTCTGGACAGATTATATGCCTGGGCGATGATGCCAGTTATTTATCGTAAAGATGCAAGAGACGATAATGTATTGTCAGTTGTTGATAAAATTGACAGATTCTCGGAAAGATATGCAGAAATCGAAGCAACAGCTGAACAACTCGAGAGCATACTGAAGGAAAATTATAAACTGTTTTTTGACTTACTTCCGGATGATGCCTATGACAAAGCAAATGCAGACTTACTTGACGGTAGAAGCAACAGAGATTTATATATATTTTTCTGATTATTGTCTAATGAAACATTTTCTAGATCTTTTAAATTCGCCGTTTGTTCCATAATAATACCTCCAGTTCAAACTGGAGAGGAGAAGAAAACAGAAGAAGAAATCGTTGAAGAAGAAACTGAAGATATATCTCAAAGGTAGACTGACTATATCTTTTAACGTTGTTATACTTCTTATTAAAGAAAATAATTGACAAGCAATTGTAATAATTATTGTAATTGATGATCTATTACTTTTAAACGTAAAAATATCATTTTTAAAATACAGTAATAAGAAAAACAGAATAATAAAAGAAATGTAAAATAATAATTAGTTTTTTGTTCATTTGTGTAGTTCGTTTTGACAGTTATTTAAGAAGATCATAAAAGATGAAATAATTAATGATGTGAAAAAAATTTCAATAATATGAATTATTTCATAAATTTGTATTCATTTTTTGTATAGACCAGCTGAGGAAGCAGCAGGTGAAGCAGAAGGAGCGGAAGGGCAAGAGGAAGTAGAAGAAGAAGAAGAAGAGGTTGACGAGGAGACATTAGCAATGAGACGAGAAAAATGGCAGCCTTATCTGTACTATGTGGATAATTTAGTTTCCAAAGGGCTTATTCAAGCGGTTTCCACGAGGTTAATATCAATTTCATTTATACAGGGTGTTCCGTGTTAATTGAAAGAAAATTTAAGGAATGATACTACAAATCATAATAAGACGAAAATTAAGAATAAAAAAATTATATTTGAATCTTCGTTTTTTAGTTATTAATATTTAAAAATATCACTATAGCCGAGCAAACCTTACCTACCCTAACGAACATAAAGCACACACGTTAAGACATAGGGGGTACAGTGATTCTCACATGACCGGCACTTTACCTCGTTTACGGCACTGAATGTTACTGTCTTCTTCTTCGCGACTTGTGCAAGACAAGCTGATAACCATGTGTTGTTGGATTTGAGAATCACTGTACCTTCCGTGTTTTTACGTGCTCTACATTCGTTGACGTAGGGAGGTTTGCTCGACGACAGGAATATTTTAAAATATTAATAAGTAAAAAACAAAGGATCAAACACAATTTTGTTATTCTTGATTTTCGTCTCAGTTTTGTTTGTAGAATCACCCCCTAAATTTTCTGCCAACTATCGTCGAATACCCTGGACTGTTCGACTGAAGTTTATTGTACTTCAATTTCTAATTATTTTAATTCTTAAAAATGTTATTTGTAAGAAATTGATGATAAAATAAAACCTAAGTTTAGCAGTATACGAATATAAAAATTCATGCAAATTGATATGTATAAATCATAAAATCCTTTTAGTTTGATAACAAATTGCAATGTTTACAATTTTTTAAGAATTTTTGAAATTCCCTTCTTATTGATTGTACTTTGATGCTGGTATGACAAATATATGATTAACAATAGTTGTTATACTTTTCTTAAATTTCGATGGTTAATGTTTACTTGTAAACAATATTTTTTTTTATTACTTCGTTATAATGAAAACTTAAGCGAGATTTATTTCAATGCATTGGAAAATATGTTATTATTTTTCCTTATTCTCATTGAACACACTTTACAACATAAATTATTTATTAAAGTTTGTTAGTAAATTTCATTGTTTCTGCAGTATTTGTTACATTCTCGACGAGACCGATCCTGAAGCTGATATACACCCTTCATTTGAAATCCAAATGTCTTTGGGAGTAAGTGTCCACAAAAATTAGAATACTCATATTTTTAAGTTTCGAAACAACAAATTAGGATTTTATAAGTGGAGAATGTTCTATTTCTTTACGTATACCCATATACAGGGTTTTCGGCAACTGTTGATACAAAATTTAAGGGGTGATTCCAAAAACCGATATAAGACGAAAATTAAGAATAAAAAAATTACGTTTGAGGCTTAGCGCACTCGTTGCGCATCACTATTGCGTATCAGTCAGTGATACTCAACGCTGTTAAGGTGCATATACATTTGTTGCATATCCGCGTATCGTATCAATTTTGACAGGTAAGCGTTGCATCTGTTACGTACGCGTTCTGCCCGAAACGTACGGCGCCGAATGTTTAGTCTAACACGCACCCCCCCGATACTCACCAAGCAAAGGGATGAGCTCACATTCCATTCCCACGGAAATCTAGCGTTCCCCACCACCAAAAATCTTAGTTTTCGGTGTATAAAAGGGCAGGATTTTCGACGATCGGGGGCAGTCTCTAAGTCAGATTTTGAACATAACGTTACTCTGTCCGTCAGAATATTGATACGAGCAAGATCGGGTTCCAGTCCCCTTCGAGCAATAAAACGTCGCGTAAGTGTCAATCAAAATAGTACTGTATACGACTAACCAAAACCCGAATGACGTCGCAAGGCTGGTGATACCGGTCGAAATCCGCGAGCACCTGACAGCCTGCCGACGACCGTTCGGAACGCGAGTCGTAAATCCCTATAATAAAAAGGTGACAACGGTGGAACAAGCCGTGCACACACCCTTTTTATAACACATCGTTGCGTATCAAAATTAATCACATTTTGTCACATTTTGCAACGGTGATATGATACGCGAATATGCAAGAAATGGATACGCACCTTAAGTAGGTGTGACTTTTTCGCGTATCATCACTGCATATCTGTACAGCATTAGCTTAGCCACAACCTTTGATGCGGCGGCAATAAACCAACAAATGCCTGATCGAGTCCGTTGAGTATTTCTGTATCAAATTTTGACACGCAACGGAGCAACGCTTGCCCGACTCCACTGATACGCAACGGGCATTTCCAACAAGTAGATACCGGACGTTACTTGTTCAAATCCACGACGCAACATTTGATTTACTTTAATACCGAAGTCGTTGGTTTTCATTCTTTTTTATGTTAAAAGAATCCCAGTATCAATTTCCACCCATCATTGGAATTAGACGATCCTGAAGGTTTCTACACGTTCTTTGAGTCACTTCTTCTTGACATGATAAAAATGGGCACTCTTGTTCCCCGTGTTGACCCGGAGTTACGTGAAGAACAAGAAAATTATGCGGTATATTATGCTTAAACAACACTTCTATTAACGAAAGCAATTTTTAATTTGGTAAATCAATTTTTAAATAATTTTTGTTGAAAAATTCTTGCAACTTAGTTTCGTACGAATTGTTAGCTCAAAAGTAACGAAAGTTTGATATATTTTTGTGAGTACATGGAAAATTGTATGTTGGGATAATTTTTTTTTTTTTTGAGTTTATACAATGTTGATCGATAAATGATCATTCATCGAGTCACTTTTTATTAGATAGAAGCCATTGTTGATTTGCTTTCGTTTTCAAAGATTGACGTTGCCGAAGAAGACGGAATTATATTCATGCTGGAAGAAACTTGCAATCGAGCAAAACTTGCTTTGGTAGAAGTTAAAGAACATGCTCAGGTACTCGTTTGAAGTTTGATTTGAAAATATCACATTGTCAGAATTATTATATTCTCCATTTTTAATTTGCAATAGCATCTGTATTGTTCGATAAATAGGCAAACAATGAAAACTAATTCTTTCCAGAAATACGATACCTACTCGTGGTTATGGCAGGACAATAAGCAGGAGTATTTAACTTATTTCCTAAAAATATGAAATACAAAAAGCCAGATTTAGCAACCTTTAAACGTGAAATTGACTACTTCATGGACCTGTACAAGCAAATTGATCAAATGCCTAATGAAGAGGTCTTTTGTCGATGGCTGAAACTCGATTTGAAGTCTTTTAAGCAAACCCTTTTGAATATAACTTGCAAATGGGCTAACGTGCTGAAGGAACATTTGGTTAACACCATCACTACTGAGTAATGAAATTTTTCTGTTTTCGTATCAAATTGATGAAGCTTTACAGTTGAAATCTTAATAATTCTCTCACTATATACATACAGTAATTGAAAGACGTTCACCGTATATTAATGGATTCTACAATGACGTTGATTAAGCTGAGTTTCTGGTGAAATATCACAATAATTTTTCAGAGATATCCAGTCTACATAATCATAACATGATAAATATATTTTAGACAAATGTACACTATACAGGGTGTTTCACCTAACATTCTCTAACCTAACCTAAAATATTTCTGGTACATTTAAAATTTCATAAAAATGTTTCCTAAAAAAGATACATACTCGTGGGGGTTATTATACAGTAGTAATACGTTTTTTTTTTTGGAAGAGGTCAGTAATATACAAGGGTCAACTTCAGTTTTTAAATGGAATTTTATTCCTTTTTTCCAGTACACGATAGCCTGTTTGAAAACGAATTCAACGGTCAACGGGAAAAACATCGAACCTAATAAAAATGAAATTTTTCACGTTCAAAGTTATTTCGAAAACATAAAATATAGCTTGCTAAATTTATTGTGGAAGCTCTATATCCCAGATAGCTCACACACGTTTTGTGAACGTCTTAAAGACGTCTCTCCGAACGACGTCCAGTGTTACAAATCAAAATGTCTTCGAAACATGGCGCTGTGAAATACCATGCACTGGCTTTAGAAACGTCTTAAAAACGTCTTACAGACGTGATTTTTATACGTTTTTAGATCTTACCAATGAACTTAAAAATGGACATCCTTAAGACGTTGTCTGCTATCTGGGATAATAATATTGTGTAGAAAAAATTATTTCTTACGGAACAAGAAAAAGTGCAGATGACCCTGAAATCTCGAAAAAACAACTTTGGAAAAGGTGTTCGATCAATTATAATATTATTAATAAAACGTGCGAATTTTTTAACGTATGGCGAATTATGACATGGAACGTCTACGAAGCTAATTCTCTTGAAATACAAACATAGTCATTCATTTTTACAAATATTAGTTATTTCTTCCTTTTCGTTTCTGTTTTTTGTCTATTAATGCATCAGTGTTTAAGAAGCATTACTTTGATAACTACGTTTCGTCAAAGCAAAGGAAAACGTTAACGAAGGAAATCAAATATTTATTTAAATTACCGTTTACCATAAACTATGGAAAATAATTAATACGTTGGACGCGTACGCATGTACTTATTGCCCGAGCAGTCTATAAAAGGAGAGTTCTATAAACGAGAATCACATTTTGACCTCCAACCATAAATAAAGTTGATTTCTCTGAAAATACAATCGTGACCGTAACTGTTGGCACAAATCCTGTATATTTACGCAACCGAATAATGAACGGATATTTGACTTGGAATCATTTCATTTCATATTCCGGGAAACTACTAAAGTACCTATTTCACAAGCAACAGTTCAAGAGAAATCGTTTCTTAATGCGTTACCGGAATAAGGATCTAATTTTGGCCTCGACGCGTTGTTTTATTCGATGTTTGATTGTTACGTTGAGAAATAAATTCTTCTAACAGAGGAAGTTCGGTAACTTGAAAATTCAAAAATATTTGAAATTCTGCAGAGATATAGTTCAAGTGACACTAATTGCGAAACCATTTTTCGTTTCTAGCGGTGAAAACACCCCTCCAAAAAATGAACAGCGTTGGCGGTAAATTTTGAAAGAAAAAGAATGTTTTTCGAAAATTCTTTACCACCACAATACAGGACACTAAAAAACACGCAACTGTATATTTAACTTTTTTTTCATATCTTGTACGGTTTCGTAAGTATCACCGTTTCATTGATGGGGTGTTTTCACCCCTAGGACCGTTTCAGTACCGAAACAAAAAATGGTTTTGTTATTAGCGTCAAATGAACTACATTTCTGCAGTTTCGAATATTTTTGGAACTGTCAGGTTATCGAACTTTCCTTGTAAGTTCTAAATTACAGCTGAAGGTATTAAAAATTTATCGATACTGGTGTCCGCAGTAAAGAGGACCAACATAAAAGCTTATAAAGTTCATGAAAAAGAAAATTCTAATTTTGAGTTCAACTTCCAGGAGGCACAATTGCATCCGCAATTATTATATAGGGTAGGCTACGTAAAACAGGCCATCTGATTATCTTCTCTAGCTCTGGTCGTACGAGAAAATTTTAATACGCAATTTAAATGACTTCAAAGGGTAAATAGGATGGAAGAAACATTTTTTTTTATAAACGCCATTTTTCTGTTTTATTCAAGGTCATCTGTGTTTTTCTTTTTACATAAATTTATATATTTGCTTCTAATAATATAACTCTACAATTTTAAATCAAATGTGAAACTTCTTTTGGCTTTTTACCATTTCTTCCGTCAAAACAATTTTTCTTCCATCTTATTCACCCTTTGAAGCCACTTAAATAACGTATAAAAATTTTCTCGCACCACCATAGCTACAAGAAGAGTCCACCCCTATAAATAACCCCTCTACTAGACTATATAGAGAAGATGATTAGGTGGCCTGTTTTATGTGGCTCACCCTCTATATACAGCTTCCTTAGCGAGCAAGGAATATTTGAATGAATACAAAAAGAAGATATTTTCGCATTTCTACTTCTTACACGGTACTTAAACTTTAATAACATAATGTCTATTTCTTTCTATCGTCAGATTGGAAAATTTGTCAGAGTTTTTGAAAGCAGCAATGGAGAACTTTTCGCAGCCTATTCATGAAGATGATTACGACGCACTTTTGGAGACTATATATTATTTAAAAGAAGTGCGAGATCGTCAATTCGAAATTGAGGATATGTTCGATCCTATTAAGGTAAGGTACTGAAACGGCTATAAAAATTGTACGAAAGAAGTAATACTTTTTATAAAATTACTCTTGTACCAAACATATCTCGTCGATATCGTTTTAAACAGTTTTCGCTGAGATTAACCGTGGTAAATATCTTTCAGAAAACAATAGAACTTCTGCAACAATATAACGTGTCTTTAGACCAGAAAATATTTGATTGGCTCTTAGAATTGCCTGTAAGTTGGGAAACACTGAAGAAAGTGGCTGCTCAAGTTAAGCAAATCGTTCAACCTTTAATGACTCGTCAAATTGAACTTCTGAAGAAGAGGCTAAGCTATTATGATTTCAAACAACAACACTTCATGGACGAATTCCATAAAAAAGGCGTTTTCAAGTAAATTAACAGCAAGATTTTTATAGAACATTTTATATTCGTATAAGTTGTTCTCTTAATTTATCTTTTATATTATTTTATCATTTTACGTTTCTAATATTTCTCCTTAAATTCTTTTCACTGTAGTCATTAGAATACTGTTCTTCAAAAATTAATTTCACATTTGATTAAATAAAGACAATAAATTATTGAAACGTTTTGATAATATTTTATATCATGTTTTTCAGTTAAACGAGTTAATTTAAAGAACTCTATGTGGTATAGTTTTTGTTTAAAGCTTTCAGACCCAAAGATCTGACTCTATGTGCAATAGAAAAGGTTGTTGACATTGTAGAAGCAATTTGAATGATTTCTAAAAATCTCGAATATCTTTTTAATACTCTTTTATTTGTTTAAAAAAACTTACTAATGATTATTACAGTCCAGATTATACAGAGCCTTACGAACAATTGAACGAGGTATACGAAAAAGTTTTGAAATTCCTAAGCGAAGAAAAGGATTTGCACGATCAAGCGGTAATTTTCGAACAAGAAATGCCTGAATTTAAGGTGATCAAGCAAATACAAAAGGAGATGCAACTTTTGAAAACTCTGTGGGATTATGTGTATGTAATTGAAACTTCTTTAAACGAATGGAAGAAGACCACGTGGAAGAAGCTCGACATTGAATGGATGGACCAAGAGTGCAAGAAACTTCTCAGAGAATTGAGACGTAAATAAGTACTTTTGTCTCATTGGTGTTACTTTTCAGTCAAACAGAAACAGCAAAAAGCTTCAATTTTTTTTTCAGCTTCTCGTAGCACAAATTTTAATCGAACAACATTGTGCGTTTTTAAGTGAATTTTTACATGTAACAAAATTTCTATTTGACATAAAAGCTTTCGTTTTATGCATATGCATTGACAGTACAGACTTTTTGCAATACGCGAGTTACCTGATCACTTGAAAATACAACGCGACTAACTAATATTTTCCTTCGTAGATCTAGACAAAGATGTGCGTTCTTGGGTGTTGTACAGTAACGTTGAAGCGCAAGTAAGAAACATGATGGCATCGTTGAGAGCTGTTTCCGAATTGCAGAATCCAGCAATTAGAGACAGACATTGGAAAGAATTAATGGCTGAAACGAAGGTAATTGATTTTATATGTACTTATCATACTATGCACGTATAGTCTAAAAGCTGAGATTTGTAACGTGTAATTTGAAAAAGAGTTCATTATATTTGGTTAAATTTTTGTAGCGTTTATTATACAGAGGAATGATCTTGAAATTTTATAGCGACACTTACGTGGGTCATCCTCTACAACAGAGCTGCGTAGCTTCTTGCTCACGAGCAAATTTCCCCTCCCGAGGTACCCCCACTATGCAACTGAGATGATCACGCTCGAGTTACGGCGCAGCGAGAGGACGCGAGAAGGAGTCCTCCCACCACAACTCGTGGGAGTGTAACATAAACCAACGGCAGTCGCTGGAGTTGTGGTGGGAGGACTCTTCGCGTGCTCCTCCCACCTCGACGCAACTCGAGCGAGACTATCTCAGTCGCATAGTGGGGGAACCTCGGGAGGGGAGCTCTGCTCTACAATCTGCATATAAGAATGAATTGCTAGAGATTATTACAAAGTTAAATTGCTTAACGCTATAACATTGGGAATTAATGTAAATTCAATTATATTTTATAATAGGTAGCATTCAGTATGACCGACAACACTACATTGGAGGATTTACTAAAATTACAATTGCATAAATATGAAGAAGAAGTTAAAAATATTGTCGCGAAATCGGTAAAAGAGATGGCAATGGAAAAGGTGTTGAAAGAACTTCACGATACTTGGAGTACTCTCGAATTTGGCAAAGAGATATATGAACGTACGAAATTAAATATTCTCAAAATTGAAGAGGAACATATTGAGACCCTTGAAGACAATCTGGTAACGTCCTAAGATTCTCATAATTTTTATATATATGCATATTTATTATAAATGCCTCACCTGGTATATAGGAAAGACATGCTTCCTGCTAGCTAACATTAATTCATATCATTGATTTTATATATACACAATGAAGTAGCATAATCGGATGTAATTTAATTATCGCCTTTTAAAAGGAATTTATTATAACCTCTTATATTAGTTTCTTTCAATAAATCGTAATCTTCAAAGATTAGTATTCTATTGATTAAATTTCAGCATTATACATGTTACGGTGTAATATATTTGCAATTTGTATTATCGCAATTATAGCAATAATAATTCCGTAAAGGTTTCACAATTTATTGTAACTTTTACGTATTTGATATTTATAATGCAAATTAAATCGTGAACATCGTCAAATGACTTACCCGCTATTTAACATTCATTACACATTCATATTTACAGCATTTTTATTACATTCCTTTCTTAGTTATTTCATTTTTGCGTTTCTTTGTATTTTACTTGTTTATTAAAATTCCAACATTTGTCTATTTCTCATACAACTAATTTACGGGCAGAGTGTATTATATTTGAATTGATTCGTAATAGGTACAACTGCAGACTATGCTAGGGTCAAAATACGTTGGATATTTTTTCGACGAAATTCTTGATTGGCAGAAAAAATTGAACAACGCGGATGCAGTGATTAACGCATGGTTCGAAGTACAACGGGCGTGGATGCATCTCGAAAGTATTTTCATTGGTTCTGAAGATATCAGAAGCCAACTTCCGGAAGAATCGAAGCGGTTTGAAAAAATTGACAGGGAGTTTAAAGTACCTACTTTGCAATATTTATTATAATAGTTTACTACCATTCTTCGCAACATTCTTTTTGACAATTTTATTTTTCATATTAATTCTTCCTTTTTTTTTTTTACCGTGGGGAAATTCTAATGGACACCCCCCGGGAGGGAGGGGGGCGGGGTAGTGCCGGACCCTCCCTCAAGATGTACGAGGAGAGAGGGGCGCCATCTCGGAGGGAGTCAACACCACCTCCAAGGCGCTGCCAAAACCACACCAGCGACGCCCCCACCGCAGGCCGCGCAAAGTGGGTCTCCCACCCCAATTAAGGAGGCGGGGCTTCTCTGTGTGGGTCGCCACCACCGGGATCCGGCGGGAGGATAACTCCTCCTCCGTGCCCGTGCACTCGGGTACCTCGGGGTCGCGATTCCCGTACCGCAGCCAATGGAGAAAGTCGGCTGCGGCCCGTGAGGGTTCATATTAATTTTTCTTAACAGTAGGAACAAATTCAATTGACCTATAAAATTTATTGCAAAACAAACACATTTTTGCAGTTTTAAGCAAGTATTACATGATACAATAGTTCAAAATCTCAAGCTTTTAATTAAACAGACAGGTTTTTTTTCAATAATGTGTAACATAAAATAACTCTGCATGATAATTTAAATTATCGGTAATTGTATTTTTTATTAAAATTAAATTTTCAGTAAGAAAGACTACGTTTAAAAAAAAATTTGTCTAAATCAAGATCCATATAATAATTACGATTTTTTAAGAAGCTAATAAAAGAATAGTGATAAAGATACTATATTATATAAATTAATGCCTGTTTAAAGGAAACTCTGAGAGAAATGCTAAGCAATTTAAATATTGTGAAAGCAACCAACCGTCCGAAACTTCTGGAAAAATTGGAAGAGTTGGAAGTCCAATTAAATCTCTGTGAGAAAGCTTTAACAGACTACTTGGAAACAAAAAGATTAATTTATCCGAGATTTTACTTCATCTCTTCTGCGGATCTATTAGATATTTTAAGCAATGGTTAGAAAATTTCAATAGTTG